ATGCAATTTAGATGTTTAGATTTATCAGGGAACTAAAGTTTAGAATAATAAAAGAAACTGAGAGTAGAAAAAAAAAAATTGACGATTTATAGAATATGTAGGGATTCGGTATTGCTTCAAGGAGAAATCCGAAAGATATTTCTACCAATCTATTCCCAATATACGTTGCATTCGGGAAAAAAAAAGCCTTTAAGGAACTGTGTAAATGTGGATGCATGTGGAAAAAAAAAAGATTGTAGAATAAAATAAACTTTTGCCTTATGAAGATGTGGTTCTTGCACTATTTCAAAGAAGGATGGTTGAGTACAAAAAATGTAAGTACTTTCCTGATGGGATTTCTTTCTTTTGTTTTCTTTCTTTTCTCTCTTTTTTTTTCTCTTTTTTTCTTTCTTTTTTTGTACAGGAAACAAAATTGTAAGAAAAGTAGATTAAAAAAATTAGTACTTAACAACGATTTTATCAAGTTAAGAAAACGTCAATTTAGATTACGTCTTGCTTAAATCGATGTATGAGATAACTTTTTTTTTTTTGAGTAGATGAACAAAAATAAATAAATAAACAAATAAACGGTGCAAGAATTTAAAAATATAAAAGTAAAATATAATAGGTTTAGATGGAGTCAGAGCTCTGATATCAAATGATGCGGAACCCAAGATCAAACATCGTAATTAGGAACTCACACAATTTCATTCAAGGTACCAAAAGAATTTAATCCTATGAAAATCTTCCCTACTTGACCCTCTATCAAGAATGATAGGAACTAAGATCACTAAGAAATGGAGAATTAAAAGAAGAATGGAAAAACATTGCAAGTAATTATCTTGATAAGTAGATCCACTCCTTGTTTAACAAGAAGGATCAAGACATCTCTCTTGAATAAGACTCACAATATTATTAGTTTTTAATCTTTAATGCTTACAATGAATACTTCATGACCTATTTATAAGATAAGTCATGTGAATAGAATGGTAATAAAAATCTCCTAATTAAGTAGGTACAATTACATAGGAAATTAATTAAAATTAAAATCTAAATTTCTAATTATGATAGATATGATCTTCCTCATTTTCTTGGCCAATTGCTTTTTTTAGTGGATCCAAACTCATCTTCCTCATTAATCAAAGCTTGGATGAAGAGTTGGAAAGTTTGTTGTAATTCTTGGGTCTGGCTCCTTGTTATGGGCCCACTTGGCATGATGATGTTTCTTTCATGTGGCCCAAGATAATCCATGCTCACATCATTATTTCTATCTCAAAAAAAAAAAATGGAAAGATGAACTACTTTTAAACAGTTATTGGGTTTGGAGGATATGGCTCTTGGTATAACTTCCAAAGGATAAGATATGGATTAACATATAGCTGATGAAATTGAAAGATTCTTGCAGCCAGGCTCAATAAATTGGGTTTAAAATTTCACTCATGTCTGTAGTTTTTGCCTCTTTGGAAGTTGGAAGAGGAAGGAAATTGGGACTCTTCAAGACATATAGTTGATGGATTAACATATAGCTGATTATACTGAAAGATTCTTGCAGCCAGGTTCAATCAATTGGGTTTAAAATTTCATTTATGTCCGTTGTTTGTGCATCTTAGGAAGTTGAAGAGGAAGGAAAATGGGACTCACTAAAGGCATATTTTAAATTCTTTTTTAGTCCATGATATTGTGAAGGGACATTGATGAGTCTCGGTCATTCTAAATTGTAATTATACAGCTGTTCAAGAAATTTTTCACTTTTCAGTTGTTGATGCTGAGTATTCACTCAACTAATCAATTAATTTTAACATCATCTTTTCTTTTTCTGTGTATCTTCCTGATGTTGTTTACCAGCTTTCCCAGTGGAATACAGAGTCCAGCTGAGCTTGAGAAGAATATTAATATGATACCGGGAGTAGTTGACAATGGTAAGAAAAATGTGGATTGTAGTCCCTTCCATGCATATAAAATTGTACATGCATCCGAGAAAAATGAATTTGACACATGTATGAGTACATGCTAAGGAACATGATGTTCTAAGTATTAATCATCCCCATCTTGTATTGGCTATCCATGGGAACATCTGAGTTTCATGTTAGAAGGGAGCTTCGATTCTTACAAGGTGCAGGGTGTTTGGTGAATACATGTCTGCCATCCTGCCAGATATTTATATGTGATGGACTAAATATTCTTACCTGTAACTGATGTTGGATGTTGCTCCAATGTGAGGGTAAAATATGTTTCGTCTTTTAGGAGTTAGGCTGTATGGAATGCTGGTTATCAGCTATTGGGACAGCGTGCATGACAAATTGACCAGTTAGAATGGCCTATGAAATGTCCTACTATCCTGGTAGTGGATTGATTCCACTCTTTACCAAGTACAGTATTCAGATTCTGAACTTTAATTCAGTCCCTTTTGATATCCATGCTTTTGGAGCATTAGTTTTCTATTTGTATTTTAATAAGCAAAAGTAACTCTGAAAAATTTTCCGAAAATTTTGGACATTCCTAACTTTCTTCTTGGGTGCTATTGTGGCACCACCGAGTCATCTTGAGGAAGTAATTTTCTTATGTTTATAGTGATATTTTTAATAACTTTGTTTAGTACTCGATGCAGTAATCGAAGAACTATTGCACAAATTTACTAAACTACTTTGAAATTTTCAAAAATTACCATAGAGGCATGACATCTCAAGGCCCCATAAAATTTCCTCTTCTTTTAGTACTCTCTTGACTCAGGAAGCTAGATACAGTTATTATCTCTGGCAGTACTGACACTAATTGTGCCAAGTTAATCTGCAGGCATTGTTTCTGGTGTTGCAGCTTGTGTAATAGTTGCAGTCAAAGATGGAGGTAATGTCAAAGTGATGAGTTTGGAAGAGTTTGTAGAAGTGGTACTCGGCCGGAGAGATGCAAATTCTACCTTGTAACATTTCTTTTCTCCTTTACACCACTTTCAATTTTGAATTTTGCTGTAGCAGTCGGCATTAGGAATAGAACAAAGAGAGGTCTTATAGAATATTAGCCGAATGTAGTCCATAAGTATAGACATTGGTTACAGAGGAGGGTAGTTGATAGCAAAGCTTTTGTGTATAGAGGGGACCTGGTTTTTACTTGGTGGAAATAATTTCTTAATTCGAGCTAGCTCTTGCTTTCTCTCTTTCTCTCTCTTCAAGATAAAATCCTAACAAGTCAGGAACAATATATCACTTGAACTTGACCCAAAAATTCTACCATCAAGCAATGAAGACCACTTGGGAAATTAATCGTTTTGAGTATTGAAAAGTTGCCAATCTTGTTAATTAATTGAAGAGGGCCACAAATACTTTTTGTGAACCAACCAATTAATAATGTTGCAAGTTTTCAGGCATTGAAAAGTTGCCAATCTTTGTTAATTTAAGTCCTAACAACTATATATCCCTATTATCTTTAGGACAAAAAACATTATAACTCCTAATTCAATATGGTTAATTTAGCTAGAAATGAGATTTTTCTCTACTACATGAGAATAAATTTTCAATGCATAAAATCAATATATAGGTTTTATTTATAATAAATTTAGAAATATTTTGAAAATTACTACGATTTAATTAACTAGTAAATGTGCAAATTGAATTAAAAGATTAAAAATATTCACCTCCTATGAATTTCAGATTTCATAAATTCCGTACAAAATGCTGTATGACTCCAGTTTTATCTGTCTCGGAGAAAATTTCAACATTTTCTAGTTAAATTAAGTGTTAATTTACAAATAAATTTCGTTAAAATCTTAAATTTGTTTCAAAGATATCCACTTTTATCAAAAATATCTTTACTGCTGAAAAATAAAAACTAAAAGTATGTTAAAACACACGTTTCTCTACCACAGAAATGCGGTGCTTTTATCACAGACATGGCATGAAGAGAGCTTATATATTGAATCAATAAGATACATCCCAAATTTGTCTTTTTTTTTCTTTTTTCTAAATGGTTAAATATTGGTGGCGATACATTAAAAAATAAAATTAAGAAAGAGCAGAAACCAAACAAATTTACACAAACCAACACTTGTTATTCAAGTGTCAATTTTCCCCAGAATTTATGGTATAGCAGTAGCTAACTGCATCTCAATGACAACACCGGCAGAATGAAAAATAGGAAAAGAAATTAACATATACATGATCTGTCCACGAGGTGTTAAGAAGGGGGAGAAGGTTCTGTTCATTTGCCATCATGTCTGCAAATCATTCAAGCACAACAGCCAGGACTAGGAGGAGCCTTGTATTCTGGTTTCTGCTTCAGAATGTTTCTCTTCACTACCGTGGATCCTTCTTCCAAAAGACTAGGAACCTCCATTATCTGTAAAAAATAACCCATGGAAAGTTAAAATTTCTGAAGATAAAAAAACCATGACTTATTCACTGGTTTGAATTATTCATGTTAATGTATAAGTCATAGATTAGATCATTTTTTATTGGAACTAGAAAGTCTAATATTCAAATCCTCTTTGCTGCAAGGTAGGGTGGGCCTTATTTGACACACCCAACAGTTCAGCGTTATCTTTTTTTTTTTTCAAATAAGCAATTCAACATTATCATTTAACAATTCAACTGCTTTTAGCTAAAAAGTCAGCTGTTTTTTTCTTTTTTTTTTTAATCTATAGTAAATAGCAAATAGAGATGGGTGACCAATTATCCCACCAGAATTCATGTAAGTAAAAGAGAGTCGTAACTTCATTATTTATATTATATTTGACACACAATTTTCAATCAACTTAAGTTTCACTTCTCTTGCGGAACTCAAAGTGGAGTTGTGATGGTTCAAACAATGGCAACGGAATGAAACAACTGTAAGAAAAAGAAAAGGAAACGGAAGATCAAGTTGGACATTTCATAGTAAGCATTTAACACTTAATCTTCTCATGCCCTGTGCTAAGTTTAGTCATACAATGCCAATATGAGATGCTTACTACTCTAGAAAGGAGGAAAGAGACAGGTGGGTTTATGGCAAACTAAGATTATCTATCAAACTTCAATATCCTCGTTGTATCGAAAGCTGTCTTGTTTCAAACTTTATTTCTTTTAAGAATATTTTAAAATTTGAACTAACTGTGAAAATTAACGAAACTCGTGTTTAGAAAGGTTAATTGTTCCATTTTAATGCAAATAAAAAATGTTGACCTTTTTCACAAAAGATTACCTTCAATGCGAGCTCTTTGAAACATTGATCCACGTTTTCTCTGGTCTTGGCACTACATTCAAGAAACAAACATCCATGCTCTTGGGCAAGAGCCATACCCTCTTCTCTACTTACAGCCCTTTCAGTGTCCTGAAATCATGAACAAGTTGAATTTAAGCATAATATAAATAAAAGAAAAGACAAACTTTCTGATTGTTCATTACCAAATTCAGTACAAAATAAAAGAAGAGAGGATGTCTATTGAGCATGGAATGCTATCCCAGGACAAGAGAATGTCCAGTATTGGATTCAACACATTCCAGAAATGACTGAGGATCTGTATGACTAAGCATAAAAAGAATAGAAAGAAAAAAAAGTTCAATTTATTCGTAAACTTGAATGTACCACTAACCCATTTGTAACTAAAAAGAAAAGCATGTTTCAGTGGAAGTGTGAAGTTCATGCATCAAAATGATGCTAGCAACAGGAGTTCCCATATCAGCCTTCTACCATTTCGTTTCAACTATGAAAGTTTATTGGTGGAAAAATCTTATTTAACAAACTGTGCATATATGTCCCAGAAAGGAAGAATAAACACTGTGTTACTTGACCAGACCTCCATATTTTATACAAGAATCAAACTAACAGGAAGGGCCACAGTGACTGTCAAGCTGATTATGGTCGATTCCTCCTCAAGAGAAGGCTTTCTAATTTTTAAGATATATATTAATACATTTCCAAAAAAAAAAAAAGAAAGAGTTACATATCAACAAAAATGGTAAAGTAACAGAGTGATATGGAATACTGACATCCTACATTCTAGAAACATTAGGCAGATAGGACCAGAAAATTGAAGAAAATTCATTTGCTCATCAAAATCTACTTTTTGTTTGGCTCCTAACTGATTTACTAACGTGGTTACTTTAAGACATAGGAAATATCTAAGACAAGAACATACTCTGTCAACTTTCAGGTTATCTAATTTGTAAGTCATATATCAACATTTTTTTTGAGATAAAATGTATAAGCAGTATATTAATGTCATAGCATCAAGAGGGTGCAATCCATGTACAAAAGATATTTACATCTTAATAAGACTATCTATGATATGTCAAAAATTCTCCACCCTATACATGTCGTGTTCCAAAAAAATAGAGCCAAAATAATAATACTAACTATCTTTAATTTTAGAAATATCACTCTCCACTCCTTCAAAAGCTCTTCTATTTCTCTCTTTCCACACCACCCACAAAATAGTCAAAGGAATAAGTTTAATACATTTCTTCTTTTTAAGTTATATATCAACATAAATGGTAAAGTAACAGACTTATATGCAATATTGACATCCTACATTCTAGTAACAATAGGCAGATAGGACCGAGAAATTGAAAAACTCTACTTTTATATTGGCTGCTAACTGATTTACTAATGCGGTTATTTTCAGACATGGGAAATATCTAACACAAGAACTACTCTATTAACTTTGATGTTCTCTAATTCTTAAGCTATATATCAACATAAATTGTCAAGTAACAGACTTGATATGCAATATTGATACCCTACATTCTAGTACCGATTAGGCAGATAGGACTAAGAAATTGAAGAAAATTCATATGCTCATCAACTCTAGTTTTAGCTTGTCTGCTAACTGATATACTAATGTGGTTACTTTTAGACATAGGAAAATATCTAACACAAGAACTTACTCTATCAACTTTGTTCCCAACAAGCATCTTAACACAATCTTGATTTGTAGAGTAAAGGTCCACTTCTTTAGCCCACACATCCGACAAGTTTGTAAAGGTTTCCCTTCGTGTCACATCATAAACTGTAATAGAAGCAAAAAACAAAACATATCAGCGATCAATCTGTAAGAAAAGTCATAAACATGTATTTGATGATAGCAGGTACATTGCGGACATTTTGTGACTGTGAGTCTGCAAACACTGACACGAGTAGAGAATCAATGCATCCGTTCACAATCTCAAAGTGATGCAGAAAGACCAAACAAGCATACTATTGTACCATTGACGAGGGCTGCTACAATTATACAGAAAAAGGTCTCAAAAAGCCCGCATGATAATTGGGCATAAGACTCAACTTTCTAAGGGTCAAATCAAGGAGATAATAAGT